TGTGTGTGTGTGTGTGTGTGTGTGTGTGTTTGATAATAGGGAATTAACCCAGGGATGCTCAACCACTGAGCCACATCTCTGGCCCTTTTTATTTTTTATTTTGAGACAAGGTCCTGTTAAGTTGCTTGGGGCCTTGCTAAATTTCTGAGGCTGTCTTTGAATATGCAATCTTCCTACCTTGGCTTCTGGAAACATTGGGATTACAGGGCATGCACCCACCAGACCCAGCTTTGTAGAGTTTTTGAGATCATTAAATCATACATAAAATTATTTGCATAGAAAAATTCACTCAATAAATAGTGGCCATCAGTATTTTCTGTTCATAAACCGAAATACATCACAATGTTAACTATTACATTAGTGGATGCCTGAGGACTCTTCTCTCATCATTTACAAAGTTTCTCTAATAAGAGTATTTTATTCTAATTATAAAGAATATTCTAATTATAAAGAGTATTTTATTCTAATTATAAAGAATATTTTAGAGCTATGAATTACAATAATCTGATACTAGAATTATAGTAGGATCTGCTACTCAAGTTAGATATTTTTATGATCAACATGATCAGATGTCATTAGTAGCATTTAAGAACTACAATGTGAAATTTTACCCATATATCAATAAAATTTTTCTCTCTAAAGTTAATATTGTTCTTTTATTGAAATTGTCTTAGTTTAATATACTTACATAATTTTAAAACTGTATTTGGCTCTTTTTTCATTATATTCTATATATCTACATTCATTATTCATGGTGGTTCTGTCTTGGTCTTGAACAAATAAACACCAGAATATTTCAAAATACTGAACTGTCTGTCCTGGCAAGAAATACATCCCAAATGACCAAAACCAAAAAGGTCACAAGATGTTTCCCTTCATTTTGTCATTTGATCTTAGATATGCTGCTCTCAAAACACAAGCTACAATAAGTAGCTATTTAGAGACAAGACAGCCCAAATCTATCATTTGAAAGAGGAAATAAGTGGTGAGGACACTGCATTCTTAAACTGGAACTTCTGAACTGAAAACTTTTTGTTTGTTTAAAGTAATTCCACATGACAAGGACTCAGTAGAAGTCCCACATCAATGGTGATAGATTAAAAGCTGGCTCCCTCAACAGCCATTTTATCACTTTTCTAACCAGCCGCCTCTACTCATACACAGGCTGGAAAGTGGGCAGCCATAGACCCAGTTCTGGCCAAGGAAGTATTAACAGAAGTCTCTCTGCTTGAGAAAAGTTTCCAGAAAATCTCTTTTAAGCACAGGGCTGGCAATTTCCTTTCCACTTAGTAACTTAGTACTTCCTTCTTTTTCTTCCTACTTAGAACACTAAGGGGATACCTGAAGCAAAGCTATCTTTTTTTTTTTTTGGTATTGGGGTGCTTTACCACTGAACTATATCCCTAGCCTTTTGTTTTATTTTTGCTACTGGGGATTGAACCAGGCAGGGGGTGCTTTACAACTGAGCCACATCCTCAGTTCTTCTTGTTTTTTATTTTGAGACAAGGTCTCATTAATATTCGCTTAGAGCCTCATTAAGTCACTGAGGCTGGCTTTGAACTTGCTATCCTAGGGCCTCAGCCTCCAGAGTTGCTGGGATTACAGGTGTAGGCCACTGCACCCAGTTTCAAATTACCTTTTGACCATGAAAATGAGAGCAATACAAAAAAATGGTCGTGTCACCATCTCAGCACTGGAAGTGTGCCCCCAGATATCATGTTGCTTGAAGCAGATAAGCCCTTGTATACGCCTCTTTTTCTTGGGTCTACAGTTTTTTTGCAGACAAATACATTTACAACCAAGATGAGTAATACATCAGAGAAGACAGACTGCTCTCTGACAATAGTAATTCCAGAAAGTATAAAGCACCTAATAAAAGATAGTTTATCAAATTGCACATGAAATGCCTGAAAAATCTGAATTGCATGATGTGCAATGTGAATAGTTCTTTCCTGCACATATTAACAGAATCAGTTCTAACAAAAACATGAAGCTATCATTTAAACATATTTTGTTTTCATGGAGGAAAAATATATTCTCAAAAGAATTATCAATGAAATGGTAATGTGGCTATATAATAGAGTTAGTCTTTTCTGTTCTCTTTTCCTAAAAATTTAAAAACAGATTTCTGACTCTCAAGATAGTCCACATTCTCCCTTGAGTGTGTATCTGCTTTCCTAAATAAATCTGTGTCTCTGGAGAAAAAAAAAAACTTAAAAACATCCTTCACTACTAAATTGAAATATCACAGTATAACAATTATATAATGTTTTTCATTCCAGAGATAGGGTGGGGTAGATGGTATGTTAATGTGTACATCTCTTACAACCAAATATAGAAATTTTCCAAGCTCTACCACTCCCTTCCCTGATCCTTTACTCATGAGGCAATATAGATTTTGGAGAAAGCTCTGGGTTATTTCTATTTTTTTGTATTAGGGATTGAACCCAAGGGCACTTTACCATGGAGGTACATATTTTTTGAGAAGTGTCTTACTAAGTTGCTAAGGTTTGCCTCGAACCTGTGATCCTCCTGCCTCAGCCTCTCAAATTGCTGGGATTATAGATGCATGCTGCTATACTCAGTTTATGTATAATTTTTATAATCAAATTATTTAATTGGATCTTAAGATGAAAAAATAATCCCTACTATCACGAGTAAATTGATTATCTCAAGAAGAAAATCTTGGAGCTGGGCCCAGTGATACACATCTATAATCCCAGCAGCTAGGGAAAATGAAGCAGAAGAATCACGAATATAAAGCCAGCCTCAGCAAAAGTAAGGTGCTAAGCAACTCAGTGAGAACTTGTCTCTACATAAAATACAAAATAGGGTTGGGGATGTGGATCAGTGGTCAAGTGCCCCCGAGTTTAATCCCTGGTACCAAAAAAAAAAAAA